ATTAGGGCCTGTAAATGGAGGAAGAGGGGCTTATGCAAGAACGAAGTGAACAGAGACTCAGAAATGCAGTTATATAGCGACTAAATGAAAACAGCATCTTTTAATTCCACTAAATGGTGCCCCAGGAGCCTTGTGAGTCACAGCTACTTGCTTCCATGACAAAAATAGATTGTTATTGCCTCTTCTTCCTGAGCCCGCTGCAGAGCCATCGCATCTAGAAGAGAGAAAACACAACTCCCTTCTGGATCAGCAGACCAAATAACCCAAGGCCAGCTGCACAGTTCACTTCTGCCTAGCTTACACCTGCAGAAGGGCCACCGCAGCCCCCGCCGCACTTGGCAGTGCAATGGCATTTCATTATTTGGAGCACAAAGCGTAACATCCCTGCTAATACTAGAGCTGGAACACCCCTAGCCCTGCTCCACTCCATTAGCAAATCCACACATGCCTTAGAGCCTTGCTGAAGGCAGCAGTAGTGTTTCACTCGCCACAACTTTTAATACTGATAAGGGTGTGCGAGCAATAAAGAAGCGTTTGTCCTGCCCATCTCAGTGCAAAAAAAGAGACCAAAAAACTATTTACCAGTAAAAGAGCACACGGATCCGGAAGCCAGTGCATGAAGCCACCACAAGGCACTGTGAAGAGTATATGTAGCCTACAGAGACCTCCAGCAGCCACAACAGATTCTTTCTGAAGACACAGTCATTGAGAAACACCTCACTTCCAAAGGCCTTGGAGCCAATGAGGCTGAAATTCCTAAACATGCCTTCAGAGAGGCGAGAGGAGCTGTGTGGGGCCTGATCACACCATCTACTGCTAGAAGATCGACACGATGTGTGTCTTTTCTGAAGCTGAATGCTGCCCTGACACAGATTTAACATTCAGCTGAAATTTTTAGAAACAAAACCAAAGAGAAAACCAGAGCGTGACAGTTTGTGCCATCTGCATGGAATACAAGCTTGAGTTTTAATAGCATCAGTTACATCATTATTAAAAAACATTTTTATATTCAAATCCATTTATCGATTATAAACCCTTCAACAAAAAAAGCTAGCGGCATGTGCACTTGCACCTGCTGCCTTTGTGTGCTCCAGTTGACTTCTTGCATATGAAGTTCTGCATTAGCAGGGATGGCAATACACTGGTAGACATCCTTCCCCCCTCCCCATCCTTCTTCTGATGCACTAGTACAGCAGAGTCTGTTAAAAAAACCACCCAAAAATACTCAGCGGGGCGAGGGGAGAACAGAGTACTAGAAATTAATACTATTAAAGGCAGGCTACTATTGCGATGAAATAAGAGCTGTATTTTGACAGTATTCTCTGGTGCTTGCACTGTGCAGCAGGTCAAGACTTTACTATGCATACTCAGATCCCGCTGGAGACTCACTACCTCCTCAGCTGCACAGCAAGCCTCTCAAGCTATTTCTATTTTTATAAACTTCCTAGATACTTTCCTCATCTTCCATTAAAAAAAATGTATCTTGAACTGTATCCCAAGCCCCTCCACCCACTAAGCCATTTGCAATTTCTCTACCACTATTGAAAAAGATGCTGTATAAAATCAGAAGCCAGAATCTGCACCGTAGCTCCATTACAGAGAGATCCAGAAGAAAACAATGAGAGTAGTAAGGCAGCTTGTATTTAATCAAGAGTTTATACAATATGTTGCAGAATTTTTTTAAAAAATGCTCCTCTTTAGTTACACTTGACAGATTCTTCTTTCCTCAATAGCTACATTCCTCGTTTGACATA